AGGAATAAGGGAGCTCTGGTGGCAAAAGGCTGCTCTGCAATCCTGAGTGCAGTTCAAATCCACCAGAAGCTCCACTGGAGAAGGAGGGACAATCTCCTCCTGTGCTGGTCGGATCCGACATGATGGTACACAACAAGGGGGTGGGGGGAGAACAGAAGGAAGGAGATTGCTGGCCAATCCAGGAAGATGTGGCTCCATGGTGCCAGGGAGGTGGAGATGGGGTATTAAATTCTAGAGTTTTCTTTTTTTTTTAAAATTAAATTATATGTATGTATGTATGTATTTATTTAATGTGTGTACTGTCAAATTGAATGTGACTGGTACAGGAGGCAATTGTTCCTCCTTCAGCAGAGCATCTGGTGGATTTGAATCACGCACCTCTGGGATTGCAGTGCAGTTTCCTGCCACTAGGCCACCAGAGCTCGCCCAGATTTTTCTTTTTTTAAATTTTATTTTATTAATTGTGTGTGTGTGTGTGTGTGTGTGTGTATCATCAAATCAGATCTGACTGTTACAGGAGGAAATTGCCCCTCATTTGCCAGCAGAGCATTGGGTGGATTTGAACCGCTTGCCTCGGGGATTGCACTGCAGCTTTTTTGCCACTAGGCCACCAGAGAGGGGGGAGAAAAAAGCTGATGGATGGTGAGCGGTGTGAGATAAGGAGACCCTCCAGGGATGGCTCCACAGTTCCCGGTCTGAGCGGCTGGGGGGAGTGAGTGAGACGGAGGGCAATGACGCTGGCGAAGCTGTTTCAGTGTGGACATGGGCTAACGCATGGGGATGGGCTTCCTGGGTTTGAAGGCATCATATGGGCATAGAAAATGAAGAAGAAGAAAGTCATATAAGAGCTTATAATTCTCAAATATGCCCAGATAATAATGTTTTTAGGCCAAAAATCAATGTGGCTTTTTCTCACTGACATTTTCCTGTTCAACTAAAAGAGAAAAAGATGAAGTATTTTGAATGGCCCTGTGGCTCATTCAGGAAGCGCAGAAAGAACAAGAAGTCTTCACAGTTTAATTCTGATTCTCCTTTTATGTTAGAAATCTCATTAAAGCAGGTACAATTTATGACCCTAACAGTCCTTTTCCTCTTTGACTTCTCGCCTAATAAAGCTACTTTCATTTTAAGTGAGGAAAAAGTAATCTTTAAGCTTTTTTTATATTCCTTTAATCTCCTTTATGCAACTCAGGCTGTTTACCCTGATTGAGGCCACTCTAGACTTGATGTGTTGTTTTGTACCATCAACTCAGAACCAGCTCAGAGCTGATAACATAGGAGGAGACTGCCCGTCTTTCTCCTATGGAGCAGCTGGTAGATCCGAACTGAACGCCTTTGGTTTGGCAGCACAAATTCTTACCACTTAGCCACGCTGATGTGGTGCTAGTGGTCCCACAGTGCACTCTGCCCCAGCTATTTCTGATGCTCCGGCTGTACTTCCTGCAGGGGCAATTTTTTGAATGGCAGTTTATTGAAGTGCAATAGCCATGGGATGTGTCAGGAAGGAACCACCAATTTCTTTTGGCACCATTGAGGTCAAGGGGGCCTGAAATAAGTTCATAATCTTACAAATGAATCAACAGAAAAATCACCAAGTTCAGATCAGTTAGCTTAATTTCAAACAAGGTAAATAAAAAAAAAGGATGTGCGAAATGGGAATTTGTCCAACGGAAAAAATAATAAGCTGTCAAGTGGTTGCTGTGGGGATAAATGAGAGAGTGTTGGTAAAACTCTTTGTATAGCGCTTCAAAGCAACCTAGAAGGTGAGTTGAGCTGCTATTCCCTTTAAGGAATTATTTTTTTTTTAAAAAAAAGTAATTTGTAGGACAGATGTATTCATTCATATTCTTGATTTCCCTTCCCCTCACCTCCTCTAATCTGCTCTTTCCTTTTTCTCTGTTCTTTCTCTGTTCTATTACTCTCTGGTTTCTTTTAGCAAATATTTACTGCGTCAATATTTCACTAACGGAGTCTCTGAGTGGTGCAAATACTTATGCTTAGGTGCTGGAGTTTAAATGTTGGAGGTTTTGCCAGAAGAAAGCCCTGAATATTTGTTCTTGATTGCTTTCAAGTTGAGCACGGCTCATAGTGACCCTATGAACAAAAGATCTGAAGCCCTTCTACAACTATCAACATTTATCAAAGTTCATAGAGTTTCCACAGTCATGTTATTTAGGAAGTGGATGCCACTACTGCACATTCATTCATTGATTCATTCATTCTTTATTTCATAATCATTGCACAGCTGTGGGGCACAGCTCAGCTCTCCTCTAACACACATGGGGTTGCTCCAAGCCAGAGGCAACCCTTCAACAACTGACTTTTATTTTGCTGAAAGTTCAGGGTCTGCTATCTGAGCAATTTCCCCTCTTCTCCTTTCCCACTCCCTTCCTCCTTTGCATATCCCCTTTCTTATATTTATCCACATCTTACTAGTTACCCTTCTATTTTTGCAATGATGGTCTTATGCAGTATTTGTCCTTATGAGACTGCTTTAGTTCACTCAGCATAATGCTCTCTAGACTTGCCCATGTATTTTACAAAATCATTGTGTAGTATTCCATGTGTGAATGTATCTTGGGAAAAATAAGAAAATTTCAATGGGGACTTGAAAGATGGGTTAATAAGAGACATAGATCAATTATCAATTGTACTTAATGGTACAAAATACAATGCATATGAATGATTGTATGAAACACAACATAAATGAAGGATTATATAAAACATGAGGTACATGAATGAATCTCAATGTACATTAATTGCTGTATGCAAACCAATACTAATAAAAAACCAACCACCACCAACTCGTGGGTCTCCTTTTCAGTGCTATCTAGCAGAACTGTCAACCATTTGTCGTAAGAGTAGGATGCTTACCACTGAAGGGAAGATGTATTAGGGAGAAATGACATTGACATTTAATTGAGGAAAAGTCCTTGGACTTGGTCACAGATGAGTGGGAAAGGACTGAGTGTACTAAGGACTAAGAGGGTATTGTGTTCTGGTTCACAGCAGGGAGCTCTGTGGAGTTTCATCCCAGCCTGCAGACATGGCCCTGAGACAGTACCATGCACAGCCTCCAGCTCCATGTAGTGCTCGGGTTTGGTTCTGTAATGGGTCTCCAGATGTGTGTAGTCTCTCTTTCATCTTGAGTTCTCTGGGTTCGGCCTCCTCTGCTGCCCTAGTTGCTAAGTATCAATCCTCCTCTTGAGTCTCGAGTTTCCTCAACTCTCTACAACTCTTAAGAGGCCAAGGTTAGTGACCTGCTCCCCACACGTTGATTACACCTGCTCATCCATTCTGGCTACTCCCTCCTGACTCTGTGTTGCTATGATGCTAAAAGCTGGGCCACTGGTATTGAAAATCCCAGCAAGGTCACCCATCGTGGTAGTAGAAAGGGATCAATGGAACTTCCATACTAAGGTAGTTTAGGAAGAAAAGTCTGCTGATCTTCTTTGGACATAAACCCACCAAACCCTTACTGATTAGGGAGCTCCAGTGTCCCAGTGGCAAGAAGCTGCACTGCAATCCTGATAAGCCTCACTGATGACGACAGAATGCTATTTGGCTTGCTTGCTCTGAACACATCATCTGGAGGGATCAATCCCCAAAGAACATCATGTGAAGCACAGGGTCAGTGAGGTGAGAGAGACCTCAGTGAGAAGGACTGATGTGATGCACATGCTGGGAATCCTGGGGACGATGCAGGACCAGGTGACAGCTCCCTCTGTTGTGCACAGGTCTCCATGCACTACAGCTAACACCGTGACAGTGAATGACAACGACAGCTGCTGACTTACACTAAGCATTCTGTTATACAGACAAGGGCTGATTTGGTTTCTGAATTTCCCAAACCTACAAATAGCCATAACCAAGCCTCAGTTTTGTTGGTAGGTCATTATTTAAGTCTTTTCATAAAAAATTGTTGTGAACCATCGAGTCAGAAATGACCCATAGCTGACCCTCCAGCGAGTTTTCAGAGGCAGTTAATCACCAGGGAAGAGATTGCTGATAGTTACCCCAAGGGGAAGTTGGTGGATTCAAACCCAGTGCCTTTGAGTTGGCTGTGCAACTCCTTACTACTAAGTCTTCAGAGCTCATATACGTATCCAATAAATAATTAGTTAAGATCTTTCTACTGATTAAAAAAGTTAAGAATTGAAGCAGTCAGTTGACAAATGTCACTTGCAAAGCACTTGAAAACTACCCATCCGCTCTTACGTGGAATATTGGGTTAACTATTACATTAAATATTGGGTTAAATATTGGTAGCCCAACTCCTCTTTATGGCATGGTTCTTCCTGAGATGGAAGATACAAGAAGCGTAGTTTAATAGGCCATTGCTGAGCATGTATCCCAGTGTCAGTAAGGTTTTTTCTGTGTAAATCACAGATTTGATCCATAAAACCAGGCCGTCTTGTACCTATTCTTTCTGCCTGACTTAAAATTACTTAATCTATCATTCCTCTCAAACCTTAATAAAAAGAAGATGGTCCTAAAATTAGTATTTTTCTGTCATGAATCTAACAGTGACATTTAAGCAGATTCAGTCTGAATTAATTGTTTGAAGGTGCCTACAGCAACTAATCAAACCTCGCAGATGTAGTTGCTAAAGTGAGTAATAAATGGGTCTGAAGATTCTGGATGTCTTGAGAAGGTACATTAAGCCTATAAACACTCCCGAACTAGAATTACCTTGATGCTTCTAGAAAATTGTTAATCACACTAGAAGTTCTATACAAGGAAGAAATTGATCAGTCTTGACAACCGGCAAAAAAGAAGTTATGATAATCATGAGTTCAGGAAGCCTATAGTAAATATAAAAGTCAAGTATTTCAAGAAATACTTTTTCAATCCATTCTTTCATGGATGCTTTATGTTTCCTGTCATGTAGTCCATGAAATAGAATGCATGTGTATTTTTAAAAAAATTTAAGAAAGGAAGGCTTGTGTATCCAAAATCAGCACTTTAAAAAAACAAAAGATCCAAACAAAACCACTTACCCAGAATGCTTCATGTTTTGAGGCTTATCCATTCGGACAGCGAGCTTGATTTTTAGATCTTGATCAGGGCAGTTTTTGGAGACCGTCATTTTGTGCCACTCTGACTGTTTGGGGCTATTTGGGGTGGGGTGGAGAATAACCTGTAGGAAAAAAGGAAACCATCTTAGGCAGGATACAAAAACATCATTATAGTCATGCTTTCATAGATAAGAACATTTCAATGCTGAGAGACGTAACCTCATTCGTCCAGGTCACAGAGGCAGTGGAAAAGCTGTGAACTGAAGTGGAGAACTGGACACAGCACTCAATCCAAGGCTGCACAACCCTTCTACAGACCATGGCTGGCTCCAGTCAAGCAGCTAAGCTTAAGGACAGGCACAGTCTTTCCTTGCTCTCCTTTCTATCTCGTTGGTTAATTCCATACAAATAAAGATCACAGCTTCTGCAATTCTTCTTTTACTTTTCCAAAGTTCAATGTGATCTTTCCTTCTGGTAGAGCAACCAGAATAGAGGATCTTGTCCACATACAATTTTCTTCACTTTCATGTAAGCTGGCTGTCTATTCATGAAAGGAACAAAGGTTCTTCCATATCAGAGAGCACCCCTGGTCCAAGCTCTTTCTCTGTTCTCCTGGGGTTCTTTCATCATTGCCAGAGGACAGCTTCTTCAAAGACTGCATGGGAAAAATGGGAGGGACTTTACTTGATGGAGGAGAAATCTGAGACTTCAAGAGGGGGAGGAACTTGTTCAAGGTCACACCTTTCACTGGGATTGCAGCCTGACTTGAAGAAGGATACACAACTTTCATCCTGTGGCTTGGCCGGAGGCGCATTCAACTTGAAGAAACATCCGCTCTTTTAAAAATAAAATACCATTCTCCACTGGGGTTCAGATATAGCACTTTGCTTTGAGTCTTCTGCCTCAGTTTTCATGGTTGCAGATGTGAGTTGAGAAGTGAATTGAGGAGCATCACTTGACAACACTATTCTTTCATTTTGCAAAGGAGAGTGTCCTCAGGAGCCACATGGAATTTGGGGAACATGTACTTTGAGAGGAGTGAAATATTTGGGGAATCCTCTAAATGAGGGAATATGAATGAAATAAACACACTAAAAACTAAAATTGCTTAGATTTTATTTCTGCTATTGCAGCATGTCCTAGATTGTTTCATGTTACATTGCCTCAGCTTTCAAAGCGTCTATTTTCTCCAGGTGCAGGAGTTGGGAGCTGGGGTCTTCTCGGGGGTAATTTTTCAGGGCAGTGAGAGGTGTTGAGAGGCTTAGGATAAACATGGTGAGCTTTTAGGTGCTGAATCAGCTTCACGGTCAGTTAAATATCATCCTCTACAGTTATATGGCCTTTCTAAGCGAGATGGAGGGTCCAAACAACGTGGTTTTACAAGCTATGGCTCAGGATTTTATTCATTTGTCAACAAATGTGTTTGTGCAAATCACTGGGTGCTTGGCCCATGTTTGGAGGGAAGCAGCACATGATTTTCTGAATGACTCAGGGATACGAGCTCTGAGAAGGTCAGGAGACAAGAGGAAAAATATCAGCGTCCTTCGACATGCCTCATTTGTGCAGAGTTTCATCTATTTTTGGATTCAATGGCTAACTTTAAAATTTCTTGTAAACTGTGAAATTATTTCTTTAAATAGATATTGAGTTCTGGTGGTAGAAATAGCTAAGTTCCAGACTGTCAATTGAGAAGGTAACAGTCTGAACCTACATAGAGGGTCCAGAAAGCACCGGGTGAAAGAACTGATGGTTGATTCCCCTAAAGATGCAGCCAGGAAATCTCTGCGGGACAGCTGTACTCTGTCCCATGGGGATGCTGTGAGCTGGAATCGGCTTGACAGCACACAACAGTAACAAGAAAGAAAGAAAGCTTAGACACTTTGCCCAATCAGAAATCTGACTCTTCTCAGTGCCATTTAACATGAATGTGATATAGAAAGTCCTGATTTTTTTAGACCAGAGACTCTCTAAGTTCTTTTTCTTATGTCCTAGTTTTATAAAACATTTTCTGAGCACTGATGCCAATATTTGCATAGTTGATTTTGACAGGATGAGCCCATGTGTATTATAGAAGAGGTGTGATGTGGTCCATTGGATTTTGATGCAGGAATGAGCCCATGTGTGTTAGAGTGGAGCTGTGACGTGTTCTGTAGGACTTTGACTCAGAATGAACCCAAATGTGTTAGAGATATGGTGTGTTCCATAGGACGTTCAGTCACTGACTTGTTAGAAGTAGATCACCAGGTCTTTCTTTTGAGGCACTTCTGGGTAGACTTGATCTGCCAACTTTTCTGAGTGTTTAGCCATGTTCACTTGGCAGGGATTCCATCGATGGTGGATGTAAATCTATAGCTCAAATGTCTTCGAAATCATTTCAGAGGGATTTGTCCTGCACTGACCTTGCTTTTGCTCATGACACGGGTAATGAAAGTACTTTCAGGAAAAGTGCTAATTCTCTGGCTCTTTACTGTTACTAGTTTTACTTTTGAATCATGGTTTTCACTTAGTAATTTTTTTTAGACCATTTGTTCATTTTATGAAGGTTAGTTTAAAACCATTATCATAAAATTTATAAACTCACTTCATGGTGGCAGGGAACCATGGGATGTTGTAGAATGCCGAAGGCAAACACATTATGTCAGAGTGCCATTGGCTTGCGAGGACCTTTCTCTTTCTGCAAGACTTCTTGTTGGGTCCCCTCAACTTGATTTCCATTACAAAAGAACCCATGCAACAGAGAACTATTCTTCAGTTTTCCAGGCTGCAAACTTTATGGGAACCGAGCACTAGGTCTTTCTCCCACACAGAGAGAAACAAGTTTGGGTAAGTAACTGAGTGCTTAATTGTTAGACTACCACAATTCTTTCCTATAAGAGATCATCTAGTTTAGAAGTGCCACCCATGTGTATCATATCTTATATCCTATAAGGTCTCACACCAAGAGATAGAGAACAAGGAGTTGCAGATATCAAGGAAGCTGGTCTTCTCTCTTGTGTAAGTTTGGCCTGAGTGATGAAGGTGTGATGTAGAAGGAGAAGGACTGGTAGGAGAAAGCCCAGCCTGGGCCAGCACAGCAGGAAAGGGCTTTGGCCTCCTTCTGCTCCTGCCTGCTTGGCAAAATCTAAATGGGACTGATGCTCTGGGCACCCGGAGCTCATTAACAGGCCTCCCGCCATATGGATTCTGGGCGCATTTCCCACTGGCAATATGGTGTCCATTTGTTGATGTAAATGGCCACAGCTCATTACTGGTTGCCCTACAAAGACGTCTTCCCCCACATGGTGGCCCCCCCAGGGGAAGCTTATTCTGCAGAGTGGATGGGGGAAGGGATGAGGTCAGCGCAGTCCTTCATCTCTGTCCTCACTCTGCCATGTACCCGATGGACCCATGACTCCTTTATACGTCAGCCCTGCTGAATTATTAGGGTTCTTCTGGATGCACATGTGCCCTGAACACACCAGACACCTCATCTGGACATTCCAGGCTGCTAATCAAGCACTCTGTCATCTCAGCCGCCATGGCCCATGTGTGCAGGGCTTTGATGTGGGATGCTGCAGTGGGAACCACAGCACTGCTATTCGCTACAGTCCTCCAGCCAGGCTCAGCTTCTCTCGGTGATCTGAGCACTCAGGCAGCTCCTTCTGGGGGATTGCTCCTTCCTCACGTTTACCTGGTTGATTCACTCCAGACTCACCTACATATCTCATCCAATATTTTGAGGGCAACCGGAGAACTGGGCTATGTCCACCCACTGTGCTTTTACACGCCTCAGGAGAGCGATGGCCACACTGCAGTTGATTTTCTGGTCTTGTATCTGCGTCCTTGAACCTTTGTGATATTAAAGAATTCTGCTTCTCTTGATGCATTTGTCCCCACACACAGCTCTGATGAATGGGCACATCAAATCCCCCACCCTTGTGCCAGTGGAATGGAAGTCTGGGAACATTGCAGTGCTGCCAAGGCTACTGGGGAACAGGCACTCTGGGGTGCCTCGTGTGGAGGGACTGAGAAAGTATCAATAGCTGTATGTTCTTCAGAGAACAATGTGGTAGAATCTGTCAACATTCACATTTCATTTGACAAAATGTTGGGTTTCCCCCCCCTTTATCTTAGAGATCTGTACATGAATATGCAAAGAAGTAAATTCAAGGCTAGTCACTGAAGTGATGCTTATAAAGTTAAAGATCAGAAACATTGCGGGGGGGGGGGATTATGTACCAATGAGGGAGTTTTTCTTTTGCTTTTCAAGGAGAGGAGCAAATGGGGGGGGAGGCGGAGGGGTTTGTGCGGGGAGAAGGGTGCAACAATGAATGAATGGAATCCCAAAATCTCTGCAGATGTTCATTGAAATGAAAAATAAACATCCTAAATTTAAAAAAAAAAAAGATGACATGCCCCTAAATAACAATTCTCAGTACTTTAATTTAAACAAACAAACAAACAAACAACAAAAAAACAAAGGTAAAAATTCTCTTTGGAAGGTAATATCAACTAGAACTCCAAATGCCTATAAGTTTCCAATTATTGGCAGACCAGAAATAAATATCAAAACCCATGAAGGGGAAAAAAACCCACCTCACCAAAACTATAATAAAATAGACTCATTAGCCTTTCAGATATTAAGATCTAACATAGCAGTGACTAATTTGTCAAAGAAAAGTGATGGCAAGATGAATTATTTTCCCAGAGAACTGGAATCTAAAATTACATAAAGTCTGGAAATAAAAATGGGGAAAAAATTAAATAGGGAAAATAAGTACCTATCAGGTAGTTTAAGTTTCAGATAGGGATACAGAAGAAATTAATAAATTAGAAAACAAGTCATTCAAAACATTCAGAAATGGGTGACAAAGAAAACAATATAGAACAGAATTTAAAAAGCCCATATGGAACATAAATATGCAGGTTATTATTCTAGAATATGAGTTGGTAAAACAGCCTGTGGATCAGCTGCCTGTTTTTGTAAACATCAGAACACAGCCATACCCATTAATTTACGTATTGTTAATGATTGCTGGAGGCGGCAATAGGAAAGTAGTGCCAGAGGTTGAATTGCAAGCTTGAAATATTTATTATCTGGCTCTTGAAGAAAAAGTTTTCTCAGTTCTCCCTAGAGAAGCCG